TCGTTTGGCATTGGTCAACAATGCGGATGCGCGCGCGAATGCAAAAAGGAAGGTGAACGTAAAAAAGTGAGGACAGCGAAGGAGAGGCAACGCAAATGGCGGAGCGAGGAGCGGGAGGGATGGAAGGGAGACAAAAAGTTGGGAGGAGAGGGATGAGCAACTATTGTGCAGGCTATTATGAAGTGGGCTGGCTGCTTACGCTTTACGCTGAAGGACGGTGTTGTCAGCTGGGTCGTGTCATTGCGAGATCTGAGGCTCAGCGCAGGCATCGCAGTGGCAGATTGGAGAGACAAGTACAGTAATGTTTGTTGCCTATGTCGTTGCAGGCAGAGTGCCTGCTGGTAGGACGCTTGTGAGCGGAGGACTCGACTAGAGAGAACAGAGGCGACGACATAGCGTTGGGGGCAGAGGGTTGGGGAGACGGTGAAGGTAGGAGGTAAAGGAGTGACGAAGAGAAATGTGTCATTATATGCTCTCGATCTTCAGCAGTTGATTACATAAGCAACTATAATATGAGTCGTCAACTGATAGAACATTTCAATTATTGCATTTAGGTATAAAATAAAATTATTGATCTACTTTGTAATATATTAAAAAGTAATATGACATGTATATAGCTTTATAAACACACTGATGTAATTATTACAATTAGATGAAATGCTTTTTACAATAATTGTAAACTACTTGTATAAACAATCTAAGTATAATATACATTAATATACCTTTTGTATAAATTATAAGGTAACAATAGTAATTATTACATTATTATATTATAAATACAACTCTTTCTTTAAGATTATAATTTAAATATAATACAAGTATAACACTTTAGGTTGTCATACAAAGTTAGTATAATACATGTAATAGATTTTATTCATCCCTAGTACTTATGTAGTCTTTATATGCATTAATATGTCTTATTTAAACATTGCAATTCAATTACAAGCCTTACAATTACTTTATAATGTATAAACAATACATATGTTACTTTATAAAGTCTATAAGAAATTACAAGAAATGTGACTTTTTCCTGATGCTTATTATCATTACTAGTTGCTAGTTTTCGATGTCCCTCAAGATCCCTAGTGCCTTGATGTGATACTAAATTAAGCACTCAGTAGTAGTGCATGTGTTAATGTTTATAACCCAGAGATTTTATTATTACACAACACAACCCTTGTCCAGTCCACTTCTCACCTCTCTCAGGAGCAAAACAAAATAGTTTATACACAAAGATGACAATCAGTACTGTTTTTGACACAGATAATGTACTGTATTTTACCAACTGAGTAGAGAGGGTAGCTAAGGGGATGACTTATATTTATCTGCTATGTAAAGTATTTTTGCACAGGGGCCCTCTGGGATCACCCCTTTTTACCTCAGAATCTGGTTGATCCACCAGAGATTGATTGAGGAAGAGAGGGAAGTGGTTTCTTTAGCAGAGACAACACTGACAATGTGTACACTCAGTGGCATGGAAACGTGTTCCCGGTATTCCTGAGCTATCTGCACCTGCGTTGATGGGAGACACTGTGTCCCTTGAGCATTTTCGTAGAGTACAGAAGGACAGCGTCTTAGATTTTATTGCAGCAGCACAGGATTACATCCAATACCAAAGGTCAATAAATTACATCCGTTAGAAAGTCGTAAATGGTCATGAGTGTCTTCATTGAACGTCGTGAAAGCCTCGTGAAGGTTTTGCAATTCCGCCATGCTCGCTGGGTATCAGCTAATCAAATAAAGTATGCGGCACATCCCAAAACTGCCGCAACGAGCAAACCGGCCAGTCCTTCTGCTCCAATGGTGAAAGTGAACCCTAGTGAGAAACGTCGAATTGCCGCGCTAGGGAGGTCGCTCGTATCCGTAGGCAATGCACCTGATGCTGTGGCTGAGCCAGATACGTTTCCAATGAAGCTGCTTTCTAGTGAGCAGATGCTCCGAATGCCAGAAATAATATCTGGGAGGTCATTGGCCGGTGCAGAGAGGAACTGAGTCTGGTTTGTACGTGTGAAGCTGAGTATTTTGAGTTGAGTAAGGAGGTGAGATTTGTGTAGTGAATACTTCTTACCAATCTGCGCATTGAGGATAAGCCGCTTGGAAGGTGTCTGTGCATGCGCATTTAATGACGTCGATGAAAGCTCCAGGATTGAAAAGGACCATAGAAACGTTTGCGAGGACTGGTGCGGCTTGGGCGCAGCTATTTATGCTGGGATAAGACTGGGCGCAGATAGGACATGAGGGTGGGTCCGATGGGAAAGAAGGACTACCCTCTTGACGGCAATGGATCATGATTTCGGTCTGAGGTTTCTCGGGTAACGCGACAGCGTGTATGCGCGGGATATCAAAGAGTAGGACGACCAGCAGGGGTATAAAAAGGGTATATGAAAGAGCGTGCATGGTGAATCGTGAGGGCAGCTTGTACGCTGGTGAGGGAAGAAACCCAGGTGTAATGTCGGCCGACTAGCGTACTCTGCATGTATGCTCCTGGTGGGAAATTACTGACGTCGATCAGACGCGTGACGCGACTCGCGAAGCGCGGAAGTCCCATGATCGCATCACGTGGATTATTGATCCCGAAATTACTGAATGTTGCTGAGGAGTGCTTCTCGCCACAAGTCTGAAGCGCGGACTAGCACTCTGTGCGGACTCGAAGTCCGAAATGCTTGTTCGCAACGTCGTCGCTGCGGCTATTGGTGCAGTTATGCGCCGCACCGCATCTGAGAACAAAGGGAAAAACATGGCCCTGGCGGATCCATATCAAAGAGACTATGGCACCGCAACACGTTCGGACCGACGACCCTCATTTTCGGGTTCGCGCTCAGGGGAGCGTCTGCATAGTGTACCGGAAGACGTCAATGACAGCCCGAGCGATTATGGAGGCGGGCCATCCGTGTGGAACCACGCGGAAGAAGATGGTAATGACGATCCCATTGACCCGGAACAAGAAGACTGGGAGGACATGCAATGTAAGGATCTCAGAGCTAGAGATTTACTATTTTTGCTTGACTCACATTGCATGCACTATTTTTATTTATTACAGATGACTACAGACGTGCCATACGAATATATTGCATTGTTCCTATAGGCTCTGCCATATTCTTCGTGTTTGCTGCTGTCATACCTGAACTCATTGCTCGACGCTCACTCCCGTCTGCGCCGACCTTCATGCGTATAATTCTTTCTATAATTCTATCCGCATCTCTCTGGACTCTCAATCACGCCCTCCGTATTCCGCTTTACTCCACCCTGAACATTCTACTATCAAATGTCTTTACCTGGGTTTCGACTACTCTTCGCCTGGATGCACAGCGAGCTAGGCGGCTTTTCACCGCGGGATTCGTTACATCCTTAACTTCTCTTATTCACGTGTTTCTCATGACCTTCTTGCAAGAAGCTCTTCGTATTGCGTCATTTGCAATTGTTGACCTTCATTGGCATCGAGACTATCGTTCACGTCCAGCAAACCATCAACCACGAACACGAGATGCAGCTTTCCGTGAAGTCTGGTGGCTTGCATTAGGTTGGGCATTGGCCGAAGTCTGTGCAGGAGTTATACAAGGTTATGAACAGCTTGCACTTTATGCCGACATGGACTCAGCAGAGCAGACCATAGAGTCTACTCCTAACAATGGCGACGAAGAAGTGACAGGAAACGGTTTAGGCAAGTTGGTCATTGACGAGGAAGCGGTGGATCTCGTTAGCCGGAGCATGCCTTGTGTTGACATGTCGGATGACGACGACGTCGAAGCCGTAAAGTCTGTAACACGGAGCGAGATTGACTTTGCCCTTACGCGACTTGCGAATATTCGTGCTCGAGACGATCTTGAGGATCTGTATGGCCAGCCTTACATCGTAAGCACTCGAATTTTTTTAATCGGGTTTTTGTGCATTATTCTGACGAAATTCGTTGACTGACTCTGGTATCCAGGAAATTCCAGTTTTCATCCCCCTCCTCCAGCGCCTGGACTCAATCCTCCTTTCACTCGGAATCACGCTTCTCCTCGCCGCAGCTTACCTACCAAAACCGCCGTCCGACTCTACGCTAACGTCTCATCCGCATTCACCTTTCCCGTCAATAACCCAGCCTGCTCTTCACATCGACCTACTCACTATCACTCCAACATATTTCGTAGTCACATTTCTTCACGCCATTCTCGGTGCACTGTACGCTTCGCCCATCCTCCCGCGAATTGGTATTCCCGCTGCCGCTTATACAAGTTGTATAGTTGGGTTGGCTCTAACCTTTGCGGGTGTTGGTATTTGGGCTGGAGTTTGGTGATGTTGATTTGCTGACTGATTTTTTATCTCTGCGTCGTACTTTGCTGCATTTTTATATGGTTTTACTATTTACTTTTGATTCCGATTCTAATCTATAACGGCAGCCAATGAAAATGTACAAGTATTTCACACGGCTATGTTATTCTGCAAGCTGCAAGAAGACTCCAAATTAAACGTGTGATTCACTGAGCAAAAGATATTCAATTAGCAAAGGAAGAAACCCAGGTGTTAACAAGTTTGACTTGATCTACAACAGGTAACTTCTGGTGCGATCTGCAATAGGCAGTTTTGGTTGTCTTGTAGCAGTAGATACCCGGGAACTGTCAGTGATGACAGCTCCACCACTGTGCCTGTGCAAGCCGGTGATTCAGCTTAATTGATATCGAGAAACGATGAAACTCATGCTTGAACGCGTCCCACCTTCAAGTAGTACTTCCGAGTCATTTCTTGTTAAGACGAGACTACACAAGAGTATGTCTCAGATGATATAAACTACATTACAAGCAATGACGAACGATGATGGAATACCTTCCATCATACATTCTACATCTGAGACATACCTACATAGTATATATAGACTAACTAATTAATAGACAATGAAGCAAGCTGCAAGAGAGCGAGCCGAGTCCACTATCCCCCCTCTTTGTGTGATCCCTCTAAGCCTCTCACATAACCTCTTTTCCCCCTTTCTTAACAGGTTATGAGCCTTGAGCTCCCTGCCTACGCTTTATCTACACCCTACTACATCTATGCTCTATACAGTTCTATGCATCACATGCACACATGTAGCATACTATGATGCAGAACTCGACTCACCTGTCTGAGTATCCCAAACACGAATCAATACACTGCAGACACACAATCTACTGTACTACATACAACCCAGACATTATATGATTGTCATCTTAGTGATTATGATCATTGGCCCAGTAATAACATAATCTATGTAGGCAACGTTGAAACTACAATGAGTATCACTTACTGTGATTATTAAATGCTAAAATACTCTATAATATCACAGAGATTATGTTATAATAAATTAACTGATCATACTACAGACAAACGTTAAAAAGATTAATAAAGCAAACACTACTCTTCTACTATTAACATTACAATAGTACAAATGATTGACACTGTCAACGAACAAACATACTATGTTATAGCATAAATCAAATAATAACACATATAGTAATATCATGGCCAAACAATTAATGCTCAAAATGAGCACATATATGCTAAACAGCATATTAAATTGAATAAATAAAACATTTAACATGTATTATAAACAATAATACAATTGTGGACACTATAATAACAATAATAATAACAATAATAATAATAATAATACAGATAAAACTAACAGAACGAATACAGAACAATATAATAACTAACACATATTATGGTTGAGCAATTATATGTAACATATTGGATTCAGTGGTTACATGTTGGATATTGTGATTACTTATTGGATACCAAATATAATATGCATATCTAAGATATACAGACGAGTACAGATATACAAAAGTATAATGAATAACTACAAACCAAAAAACAATGCTACAGAGCATATAAACTAACTATACACAAAAGAATAATGTTATAACACATAAATACTAATTACAGCACAAGACAAGTGCAAAATTTATAATTATTAAACAAATGATACTACTTTACACATTAATACAATTGTGTAAATGTATACTAATAATGAACGAAAGAATTATATCTCTAATATACTCAAAACAATGTATCAATACAACTTAATTACACAGAACGTGTTATCACAGCAGCTGATTATATAATAAATTTCGAAGTTGTAACAGCAACATCAACTGTACAGTGTATATACCTTAACAAACAATTATTAAATTTACATTGTGACAATGTAGCTTGTAGGAGCAAAGTATTAAGCTGATAAGGCTATTACAACAAATAATACAAATATTATTATTACAAACACATTATTATAATAATTACAATCAAAAACAATCATAATATAATATGATTAAATAAATTAATAAAATGTTTAAGCCATTATCTCAGACAGTATAATATAAAATAGGTAATAACAGATGCAAGCATACTTAATAGAACTCAGTGCATTTACTAAAAGCACTACATAAATAATAATTACAATGTTATTAAACAAATATTATACAGAAACAAACGAATTACCATATGTTTTCAACACAAAAACAAAATATTCATTCATAGTTATGAATGATTATTAATAAAAAGATAACAAGCACGAACAAAACTTGTATATTATACATAATGTGTACTTATCTACTATAACAAACAAAATACACATTATATAAGTTGACAAACGTTAACAGTAATGAAGATATAATAGTAATACCACTTAAATTACTTATTATAGAACATAACAAACGTTACACACTACTTTAAAATACTAATAATTAGAAATCAAACCATGAAAGTAATTACAATTATATATATAAACATTATATTATAACAATGATTAATAAACGTTAAAGAAATATCCAATTCTTCAAAGAAATACCTTCTTGAATTGAAGGGGAGAAAATGGATAATATGCATGAACAATTAATAACTAAATATAAACAACAGAACAGAAAGTATAATGCTACAGACACTACAAAAAATAGAATAACAAAATGCACAGACTAAGCACTGACTAAGTAATAGAAGTTACAGACAGACATAACGGATCATAAAGGTAAATCATTCAGTACAAAGCAAAACTATGTTGATCAGAACTAAATAACAGAAGTTAATACAATGTGTAATTGAACTTCAATGTTAAATAAATAATAATTCTACTACAAAACAAATGCTCATACTTGGCAAATAATATTAATATGATAATATAATTAACTTAACAGTGTTTAATACGAAAATAAATAATATACAGACAATTATCACATCATATAACAAAATAATTCATCAATTCAGACTATAGTTCATGGATAAAAGTGATGAATAACGAAAATAATACTTTGGAACATACATAAAACAATAAATAATATATCCATAGGATAATACAAATATAATTGCAATATAATTTGCAACTACAATGAATGATACACAGATAATAACTATATAAACAAGTATGGAGCACATACATATAATTAAATAAAACTATTAAATTGATTCTTGTACAAACAATTAATTTGCCCTCACTGTACAATTAATACAAGTGTGAACAGTATTATAATACTATGAAATACATTGGATAGATACTAATAGGTATATCTATACAATGATTCAAATAAAATAAATAAAACCAATATATAAAACGTTTTACCTAGCAAACCAATTAACAAATAAAATGTTGAACAAATACTACAATTGTGCAAAGCACTAGATTAACTAAAGAACACTAGGAGACGATTATAGTAAACATAATCCTATATATTACTCATATGTAGATTGTGTTACAATACATCATTCTTTGCAAAAGAAAAAGCAAAGAACAATAGCCATAACATACACATATATATATACAATACAATG